ATGATGATGATGATGATGCTCCATTGAAAGAAACACGTGTCCGAGTTTAGAGCAGTTTTAGAGTGTTGCTTGACGCCAACAACTTGGATCCAGTCGGTTGCGCTATTTCGCAGAGCGTCCGATGATGATGATGATGATGCTCCATCAGGTGAAACACGTGTCCGAGTTTAGAGCAGTTTTAGAGTGTTGCTTGACGCCAACAACTTGGATCCAGTCGGTTGCGCTATTTCCCGAGCAGAGCGTCCAGCATCTCGCAGGGTTGTGGGGATTACATTTCAGTAAGGGTCAACATCAGAAGACATGTACGAAAAGGACTTCAGTAGTTGGCTCTGGTGGACTTGGCTCATTGAGGTCCGAGAGCCTCTCAATGACCAAGCGAGGTTTGCACAACTTCCGCGCTCCTTAACTGTGCAACACCATAGGACAGTCGCATGATCCGAATCCACGTGTCTTCCAGGACGCGCGACAACCCTATAGCCAATGTGGTCTATCTGTCTTGGAGGTTGGCAGCGTGCGAAAATTGTTATGTCTACCCAACAAAGCATTCATATCGCCAGCAACCGTAGCATATGAGCTCTTGGCCCACCACAAGCCGTCTATGACGTCGTAAAAACTGTCTTTGAGCGTATCAGAGCTATCTTGTTCCGATGTGGCGAAATCCGTTTCTTTACACAAAAAAGCTAGTCAATTTAATGATGCTTATTCCAAAGCAGCAGACGAAGGTAGAACAATATTAAGTGCGACTATTTTTGGTGTCGTAGATGACGATCGTTCAGGTGTAGCGCCCGTTGGGTGCCTAGCTCCCATGCCAACGGATGGAGGAACGAGGGCTCGGATACTGCCAGGTTGTCCAAGCCTAGACAGGAGCAGTCAAGATGCTGAGGTTGTGTTCGAGTCACTGACCTTGCTGTCCGTAAGCTGGTGCCTTAACCACTGAGCTACATAAAACCAACTGAGCTAACGATATGAGTTAGCATGAAGCTTCAGAAACACCATATGTTGTATACCGTGTATATGCAAAGATTTCGTCTGCAAATCAATAGCAAGGACGAAATAGATTAAACCAACTAAAATTAGAGCCAGTTTGGAGCAAGATTTTGAGTTCATTCGAGGTCCAC